CCCCCCCTCCCCCCCCCCCCCTTTTTATGGTAGAAATTTGAACTCTTTAATTACCACATTGTCAAAATGCTGACCATCTTCTATCAGGTTCAAGATGGACCAAGAGATTTCTTTTGCTTGGCAAAGTACACTTTTTTCCCCCTATGACTGCTCTGTTCTAGATCTCAGTCACATCAGGTCTCTTACTGGTAATGTGGTTGCTCAAAATGGAAGCACATTCACATACACTCATAGAAGACCATACTGCTCACAAGGCTGCATTTTATGTGGAGTGCAGTACTTCTCAAATTTCTGCAATACAGGGTGCATCTACACAAGACGCTTTATCACGTTAGCCTAAATTTAAGGCACATTAGGGTGTGTGACGACACGTGCACACCCTTAATGTGCTTTAAAAATGGCAAATTTAGGCTATTGGTGCCTAAATTTGATACCTGCAAATGTAGGTATCAAATTTAGGTATGAATAGTTAAAATACATTAAGGAAAATATCCCAAGTCAGTCCACACACAGATTTAATGCATTTTAATGCCTGTACATGTAGACACCTGACTAAACCCACTTAATGCGCATTAAGCTAATGTGAATTAAATTTAGGCATGATTAAATGCAGGTGTAGACATGCCCGCAGTTTCATAGTTCTGTCTGAATTAACTGAAAACCATTAAAATGTGCTTCTACATCAGCTGTTGTAAAAAATAAGGCTAGTTTCTAATAATCATCCTTTTTTTGCTGTTTATACCGCTCTTGTTGCTGTTTATGTTTTCACACTCAGTTCTGGTGATGCTTTGAACCGTACCATTCCTTTGTTCAGGGTACTTCCTTAGTTTGATTTACCCTTTGCTTTGTGTGTATTGTTCAGAAAATCACTCGGAGCCAAAGAGCTCAACAGAAGTCTGCTTCATTCAGCTGTCATGTTACTAAGCAGCGTGCAACATGAGGTACTGCACATCATAACAACCAGGTCCAACTGACTCAAGGAACTATACCCTGCTCATTACAGGCAAGTCATCCCCTGCCTTTGTCACAGCTCCACCTAGCCACATCCAGACAACACCCACAAAATATTATTCCCATACAGTTCATCTGCAACTTCTCAGCTCTCATGCTTGGCTCTCAACACTCACTTGCCATTGCTTGACTGCCACTACCACATCTGTGTGTGTTTGTTTATTTGTGTATCTGTAATACTGAACTAAGTGTAAAAATAACTGAATACTCTGAATAAGACCAAAGTCTGCCTGCATCTGCCCTCTGGCACATCAGCAATCTGCAGTTAAACTAAAGCTCTCATAGAAAGTCCCCCTGCTGTTCAGCCATTGTTGATACCATTGGAAAAGAGATTTTTTAAAATGCAGTGATAATTTATTAGCTTCTATGTTTAGCCTTCAGCCAGTCAGGAAGCAAGCAGTTCTGGTTTATTAAGTGCTATGATGGCACTGTGAGAGAGAGAAGTCCTCTGTTTATTCATTCATACAACATGTACAAAACAAGGACAGGAAAGAATTCCCTGACAGCATCTTTCAAATGTGCTTCAACATTGGTATGGAGGGACTCACTCTAGGACTAAGTGAAATTTCAGCTCTGTACTGAGACGGACATGGGGACTATGAGCTTTTTCCAAAGAATTGTGGAAAACTCATCATTTCACACGGGGCACACTAAGGGCTGTAGGATGGAGACAACCTTTGAGGTCTGTTATCAACCTGGGTAGTGACATTACTGTGAAGAGTGATCTGTCTCACCCTACATCTCATTAGCAGTCCTCCAAGATAACTTCATACTTGGAGGTGTAGTCAACATTAAAAATGTGTTACGTGGGTGAATCAGCCATCTCATGCTGTGTTTGTTATTGTAGTGAGCAGGAAAGTAGCTCTCAAGGGATATCATTCCTGAGAGGGGGAGAAAGGCTTCTTGAAACCCAGCCATTAATGAGGTAAATTTACCCATAATTTATCTTGCACCAGTGTGAGACAACCAACTCAGTTGGAAACCCAGCACAGTAAGAGGATGAGACCAATATCACAGCACTGAGGGAGAACACAGGCCAAGGTTGTCACCAAGAAGAAGAGACAAAGGTAGTGAGCTGGAAAGAACATGGGGTGTGGAGAGGAGCTAAGTTGGCTGCACCTTAGGCAGAGCTTTAGGCATCATGAGACATGGCTTCCATTCTTGGTTCTTCCACTGAGTTACTGCCCCTCTAAGTGCCTCATCCACAATATAGAGCTAATAATGCTCCTGCCCCCTTTGTAAAGTGTGTTGAGATCTGCTGATGAAAAAGACTACCGAAGATTTCACAGATTTCACAGATTGTAAGGAGGCTGGAAGGGACCTTACAAGATCATCAGGTCCAACCCCCTTGCACAAGGCAGGAAAGACAACTGGGGTCAGGTGACCCCAGTGAGGTGACTGTCCAATCTCCTCTTGAAGATTTCTGGGGCAGGTGATTGCACCACCTCTGGGGGAGTTTATTTCACAGTCTGGACACCTTGACTGTGAAGAAGTTTTTCCTAGAATTGAGCCCGAAGCAGTCTTCCAGGAGTTTCTGGCCCTTACTCCTGGTTTTCCCCAAGGATGCCCTGGTGCACAGTTGTTTACCAAGCCCTTGATGTACTCCCCTGATGCAGCGGTAAGCTGCTACCAAGTCTCCTCAGCCTTCTCTTTTTTAGGCTGAAGCAGCCCAAGTCCTTCAGCCTTTCCTCGTATGGCTTGCCTGCAAGTCTCTGATCATATGGGTGGCTCTCCTCTGGACTATCCCAAGCTTTTCCACATCCTTGTTGAAGTGCAGCACCCAGAACTGGATGCAGTATTCCAGCTGTGGTCTCACCAATGCTGAGTAAAGTGGAAGTATCACTTCCTTGGTTTTGCTTGAGATGCATGGGTTGATGCATGCCAGAGTATTGTTTGCCCTGCTGGCTACAGCATCACACTGACAGCTCATGTTCATTCTACAATCTGTCTTCAGGTGTGGATGAATTAATATGATTTGGTCAAGAGCCAACAAATTTTCTCAACTATTCCTGAATTTTTTATTCCCAAACTTTTTTTTTACTGGCTCTAGATTCAATAGTGATATGTTCACACTTGCTGTATCTTAAGCTTCCTTCATTTAGCGGCTTTGCAAAATATAGCTGTGGACATAGAACACTTTCACTCCAGTGTTATTTACCCTGTGTTTTACTCTGCAGTACATTTACTCAGTAGTAAGAAGTGAGCATGGAACCAATTCTCCCAAGCTGGTCACAACAGAGCCATGCCCCTTGGTGCAGGGACTCCTGTTTTCATTGAGCAAATGGAATTTCCAGAGTGAAATTCACAAAGGTAGCAGGCATGATGTATTCACCAGTTCAACTTTCTCTAGAGTAAGTTTACTTCTGACTTCCTGGGCATGTCTACATGAAAGGCTATATCACTATAGTGATGAGCTATGGCAACATACCTCATCGCTACGATGATGTAGTGTCAGCAGGCACTAACCATGATGCCGCCACTACTGCGTAACAGGGTTGGAAGTGACTCATACGCCGCTGGGATTGTGCAGTACCGGCAGGTCCTGCACAGTCATTTAGTACTTGCCAGTAAAGTAAAGGAAGTACTAGCAAGTACTTCATGACTGCGCAGAACCAACTGTGCTGTGGGGCACATGTGTAAACTTGCCTAGGGTCAGAGGCAAAATTGCATCAGAGAACGTCACTTTCTCTGGAGTAAGTGCTGTGGGTCAGATATCTGTTCCACTTTTTCTATGGAGTAAATTGACAACATGTTGGAGTAAACCTGCCATGTTGTATGCTCAATATGGTCTAATTTAGTGCCTTTGAAGTGTCATCCTTGATAATACTGGAAAACAAAAATAAACTAGGGTAACAGCAGTTCTAGTCTCCTCAAGTCCAGTAGTTCAAGTTTTCACATTATCACCACATCGATGTGTCTCAACCAAGACCCAGAGAGGGAACATGTCAGTAAGTATGAGACTAAATGAAAAAGTCACAAAGACTGGGTGAGATTCTAACCCTAATGAAACTTCAATGGAGTCAAGAATTCATCCACTGTCAGTTAAATCTTGACTTTTGCTGAGGTGCCCAGAAAGAGTACTAAATGAGAACAATCATGTAAACCAGCATGCAGTAAGAACTGGCCTGATTCCACCACATATACTATCAATGAAATGTCTGATAGCGGTATCATATAGCTACTATGGCTTTGCATTGCATTACCCACCCCTCGCTTTACCTACGCAATGTCCACCTTTGTAGATATGGCCCTAAAACAGAGGAGTAGTGAGTTTACCTTGTCTCATTATCTTCCAGCAAATGAAGATTTACAGCATTAAAATAGTGTATTCAGAATAGTACAATGCTGTTGTGTCATATAAGAAACAAGAAAAATTCCATGTACTTGATGGTGATGATAATGAGAAAACCATCAGATCAACTCTCCTGTTACCCCTTCAGATTTCACAAGCCAAGCTGGGTCAACCCATGGTGGGGCCATTTAGGTATTATGGTGGTAGTAATTCAGAAGGGAGTAATTTTCCCCTCTGAAACATCATGCTAAATCAAGTGCCTTAGCACAGCATTGAGGGACACCACCTTGCTGATTTGTGGATGAGCCAAGCCATGGTCTTGAGCAGCTGAAATTATTAAGGATCCGATTCTAATTTTACCTTCGCTAATTACATTCTTCTACCAAAACTGCCATACGCTTGAAATGACAGCCCCAGGGAGCAAAACTCATTTCCAGCCTTCAGGGTGAACACCAGCACCCAGAAGGACCTGCCTCCAACTCCTTGCAGTCAGAAATAGTAGATCTATGCAGGTCCACAGGCCCATGGGACAGGTTGCAGGAGCAGCAATGCATCCTTAGGACCACGCCAGATAACAAAGAAATAGCTAAGCAGCTTCCCTTGCTGTATGGGTGGGAGAAAGAGCAAGGAATGAATTACACATTGTAGAACTGATTTTTTTAGAATGTGTCAAGGACAGAGGCAATAACCAAATGTCATAACTGCAAAGCCTCACTTATATGAAGAAACTGCTTCTGCTTTCTCACACCTGCCAGCTGAAATGTCACTCCTTAGTACGACTGTAGGCCATAAACAGAGCTGTTCCTTCACCTTCTTACCCCAGCTCT